TTCCGCTTCTAACGCCCCGTTTCCAACCCCACCCTCTCGCAAGCGTGTCCAAACTTTAAAACTCCCCGCAGCAGCTCACTTTTCGGTCGGACTGTGTCGACTGCTCCCGCACGTTCCTCTCGGGACGACAAATAACGGGACGCATCCCGAAGTATGCAGTTGTAACTGCGCTCTGCGTACTTTTGTTCGGAGCTGTGCAAACTGGAATGCAGCCTTATTTGCACTCAATTTGTCGGCTCGTCTATATCAATTGAATTGAAGCTCTTCACGAAAATTACCCCTTTTGTTTTCGTTATACCAATTTTTTTTCCGCTCGAATGTTTAAGTAATATTTAATACAGTAATTAAATTTATTATTAACATCATTTAATTGTTTCCTAAAATTTTATCGTCGCAAAACTACGACGTAATTTATAGACGGTCACGCTATACTTTTTACTTATCGACGATGTAAAATTTTCCTATTTACAAAGTTGCAAAGTTTGCCTAATCTACTTGAAAATAAAATTCAGGCGCGATGGAATTCGTTTTCACAAATGAATTCGGGAACATTCCGTGAAATAACTTCGAACCATTCACATTTCTACGTTATCCTCGCCACTCTTAATTGTCTCGTTCGCGTAGCCCTTCTCGCGATCCCAACAGGCGTTCAAACTTTAAACTGCTTCATTCCACGCAAAATAACGAGACATGGAACAACTACAAACATATGCTCTTGCTCTAGCGTTAGTAGTGGATAAAATCTTTCAATTCGTTTAGATTTCAAACATAAATTATCCCTTTGATCCGCGAATTTTCTATTCCTTTTTTCGAACTCGAAAAAATATCAACATTAAAAACGCAAAACTCTGGCATTTATACTTTATATTTATACTGTTTTTGGGTGCATCGTTGAATTTTTAAAGCGTACAATTATCTTGAAAATATATACGTTTTTAAATATTCAACAACATTTTTCAAATATGTTGTATGTATAAATATTTATTTTGGCGAAAAAAAATGGTACTTGAAAGGAAAATCATCACGATAACGATTTAGGAATATATCCAACAAAATGTTTTCTGTAAAGAATGCTTCTCGCATTACGGAACTCGTTAGACGCGTCCAAAGCGGCCAATTTTTACCTTCTTCCTGTTCTCGTACCGCTTTCAGACACAACGCGCGTCTGCTCGCGCCACGTGAGAAATTTTTTAAGATGGGATTTTAACGAGCACGTAGGATATTTTTCAGAGTCTTCCTCGCGCGCGCCGGTCGCCTTAATACTTTTCTCGCCCCGCCTGTCTCGCGCATCGGACGTGCTCTCGAACTTTAAAACACACCCCCCCTTGCACCCTCTTTTCCGTCCTCCCCCCGGGAGGCCAGGATTTTTGCAGGACAAAAATAACGAGATGCATTCGGCGAAATACAATCTCGTAGCCTGCACTCGCACGTATCTATAACGAGAACTGGCGGAACGTCGTCGCCAGCCAATTTGTCAGCCCCGAGCAAACCCGGTTCTCGTTCTTTCTCTCCAATCTCGTTTCGCGTTACGCAACTTTCTTTTAAATTTCTTGCAAATTACAAGCTTCGTCGAGCGTTCCGGAAAAAAGTTATACCGATTCTTAGTGTTTGTAAATGGAAGTTGAATCAGCATACAAAATTCATACTGCGAAAAATAGGATATTATAAAAATATAATATAAAATGTAATCAAACTAATTAAAACCGTAAAATATAATTAAATTAAATTAAATTATTATAAATTTTTCGTAAAATACAATGAAAAATCTAATTTATCATGCGAATATTTTTATAATAAATATAATAAACGCAATTTTTGATGCATGAAAACGTTACAAATACATTTAATTTTGCAAATGTATATTTTTGATATAATTATGATTCATATAAAAATATCGTTTATAATTAAACTTATAGTTCTGTTTAATTTGTGTTTACAATATGTTTATTGTTTCTTTGTCGATGAAATCTTTTTATAGTTTATCCTTTTATTAATTACTTTGCAATTAATATTAGACATGTCATAAAATAATTGCTGGATTAAAGAATTTTCTAATTGAAAAAAAGCTTTTGTGAAAAAAGCTTACATTTCAGTAAATAACATGAAAAAAGAAATTTATATTATATAATTTGCGCAGAAAATTGTCATTTCTAAAAATTAAAGAAAACTAGAAAAATATGATTTATTCTAGTTTAGTCTAATCAACTTTTTAAGAAGGACATCAATGTCTAAAAAGAAATTTAAATTAACAAAATAATTAATTTTAGCTTCGATTAATCATTAGGGAAATAGCATCCCTTTCCACTTTATTGTAAACTAGCATTTGAGTTGAGACGAGCATAGTCAATTAACCTATTAAAATGAATGACAATTAAATTCTACTTTTTTTCGGTTTATTACGTCCATCGAAGGAAATTTGTATTTTTCACTGCATAACTCGTTTAGCGTCGTTTCATGCGCAACAAGTTAATGCTTGTTTTGTAATGCCGCGTTAACCCAGCCTCCAAAAAAATGGGAAAAAAATCGTTGCACACACGTGATCGTTGTTCAAATGATGAAACGTATCGACGTGGATGATGAGAGTTCATTGCCCATTCGCGCTTCGTATCGCAGATTCGTGATCGGTATTTACGTCGCCACCGCAGCTACCGTAAACTCAAAGTTATGGTGTTTATTGTCGACGCCGTGCCAACGCGGACTGAATAAACATCCGCGAATTCACGCTCGACGGATTTATCTGCGATTTTATAGCGTTGATAGTTACATATTACTTATTCTTTAGCTGTAGATTTTTGTGTATTCGAAAAGCAGAAGGAAAAAGACACCCGGCCGTTAATAACTTTAACATATTTATTTCATGAAGTTTTGAAATTCACGACTTATGAATTTTTAAACTTATTTTTTCGCTTGTCGAGCACAGAGATGTGAATTTAAGACATGAGACAGTGCAGTGCTTTTAGTCCGGCCTATTTAAGGTCGTCTTCGACCCGCGAGTACGACCGAAAGAAGCTCGAGACTTTGAAAGCGGGGAGCTTTAAGCTCTTACGAATCAATACCGGGTGGCGCGAGTGAGATGGGTAGACCCGTAGACTAGATAGGAAAGTCGCAGATAGAAGAAAGAAAGAAAAGAAGGAAGGGACAAAGGAGGCCAAGGAGAGATCCAAGACTTGGAGCTCTTGTACGTTTGTTCCCCGATATAGCGCGTCGATAAGTCGTCTCTTCCGCCGATTATTTCGCGAGAGTATCGCCGAATATTGGGCTGAGCCTTTCCGCCAACATGACAATCATCAAACCAGCATGGACTCCTTTTGTCGGTTCCTGTACAACGTCATTCTCGCCATTGTCGTCTTTCTGAGGATTATCAGTGAGTAGCGAGAGCGAGACATCGATCAGGATTGTTGGATCATTTCGCGAAAATAAAAATAAATTATATTTCATAAAAATAAATTATATTTATACGTAATAAATTGTATACATGACGAACGATTGAAGGGTACTTTTTAAAATAAGAGAAGAGCATTTTTAAAATAAAAGTTACAAATTGCGCGAAACAAAATTTGTTCTCTATCTAAAGTTATAAATTACGCGAAACAAAATTTGTTCTCTATCTAAAGTTATAAATTACGCGAAACAAAATTTGTTCTCTATCGACATTAATTGGAAAGTTATTTATAGATTTTTAATTATATAGATAATTGTATCAAACGGCTACATGTATGAACAATCATAATGACTGCGCGATATGAATTTCTGCGGTCGCGCAAGTTCTATATTAACAGACAAGGTGTACTTCGTCAATATTAACCGCGCTGAATAAATTTTATTAGTATTCCGTGCGAGTTACCGCGAAGATAGTCGGAATATCAGATAACCACGACTACAGTATTTAACTTGGCTACCTATCTCGGATAAGCTTAAAGCTTAAAGCTCGAGCCATTATTCTCTTGCAACGTCTATCGCCAGATAATACTTGTCTTCGATGATCTCCATCGACAAGCTTTCTTATCGTAATCGTCACCGCGATGGATTAGCCAAATTTAAATTGGATTCTGATTCAATCTCCAACTTCTGATTTTATTCTCTCTGTGAAAGGCAAATATTTGTCATTTATCACAAAAATTCATTTTTATATTCGGTTTTCAATTTTTCGACATTTAAATTCTTTCTCTTTATTTATCGGCAATTCGAGTGTTTAAGAGGAAACGCATATCTGGTTTTTTGTAGATGTTTTATAAAATTAAAAAACGACCAGACACGTCTTATTGCGATGCACTTTGTATCCTTGTTCAAGAGCACTTTATTACGGTTTATCGATATGCATCGAGCAACCTTTAAAACATCATATGCATGCGCCGGCAGCTGCTGCGGTTGATCGCATGTTCTACCATGATCTGCCATAACTCGGAACCTTGACCTTTAGCCGCTCGTTATCTGCTGATATTTAAAGCTTCGAAACCGCGCGTTTGAGACACATCGCACGCGAATTAACCGGGTCGTTCGCAGAAACAGAATTCTGCGAATATTCCTTAAAAATAGAGATTATTATATTACGTACAGTCACGTTAATCGAAATAGCGAAAAGGTAATTGCATGTATCCGGCAAAATCTATGTTTTATTTTTTATTTTTTTGGTCAGTATCCGGTACAATCACCCTTTTTAAATCGTGTAAAATTAAAAATATTACAATAAGAAAATTCTTAAACGCGATGTCTACTAGTACTGTGAGGAGATTATCGATTTTATTATCTTATAATATCCTTTTTTTTCTACGCTTTATTTATTAAATCCGTATATTATCTCTGAAATAATTAATTCTCCATTGTTATTATTTCGTATTGATATTTTTTATTTTAATTACACAGATATATACATAAGAATCACACATATGAATCTTTTACGACAAAGCATTTTAATTCACATTCAACAAGCTGTAGAAAGATCGAGACATAATTATATTTTGAATATTTTTATAAATAATAATTTTGATTTTGATTTTCAGAAAACGGCCTCCTCTCCTTCGAAAATCCCAATTATCATCTGGACCCAGCTCGACTGGACGATGCTCTGAACAGCAACGGAAATGGCAGCTCTCTGTATGATGAATTGTATCAGGAATTGGTCGGCAGCGGCGGCAGAGGTGGCGAGGTGACCGGCGGCGGGGGAGGGGGCGGAACGAGGGTGCAAGCACGCCGAACCTACGCCACGTTGGATTTGGGCAGCATGGGGGTGGACGTCACCCAGGGCCCTCTCACGCAGGATTCCGTGACGGACGACGCTTCCGACAACACGGACAACCATAACCTAGGGTGAGTGCCGTTAGCTCTATCACGTTTTTCCTCTCTCTTTCTCTCGTTGGCGACCCGATAAATGGTTTTCCGATGTACACTGATGGAAAGATATTGCCGCGCATAGAAATTGAGGGAGGATATGATAGGACGAGAATGCGATAAAATAACGTCATATTCACTGAATTTTTTCAACGTGCATTATTACAAGTTTATTTTCTTCTGCGAAATTAATTTTCTACGGATTCTTCGGAATTTTCTCGAGTTAAGGAAAACGACAATTGATAAAAACGGGAAAATTATAGCGCGTTATCTATAAAATAAAATTAATATATTATATTAATAAGTATATTTTTGATATTTGAAAAAGAAAAATTTCGAGATAAAACAGAAAATGTATATAATCATGATCATGAATCGAAAAGTAACCTTCTGTCGAGATTTCATTCTTCCATTTCGACCAACTGAGACGTCTCTTTGGAGTCTCCTTTGGAACGTGGGAAAATGTAATAAGCTTCGTGCAGCGAAATAGAAGCCGATTCAACCACCCTCTTTTTCCCTCGTAATATAAGATCCGGCCACCCAGCGGCCTTCGATAAAATTTTCGAGTCGGACCTCATCGGGATACCGCATAAAATTTCAATAAATCCAGGAGCTAGAAGAGAGAGCTAGAGAAAGAGAGATAGCTCGGTGAAACGAACGGTCGATGTTACAAGACAGTTCGAACTTATTCGCGACTGTTACACGATTACAATTCAACGCGACCCTACGCACAGTCGGAACTCACTTCTTTCTTCTTTTCTTTTTTTACATTTCCATCGGGATTCCGTTCTATTGTCCGACTCTGCTATCGAATTTCCGGAAATATTTTTTAGGATAACATCAAGAATCACTCATTCTCATCAGTCGGAAATCGGAAATGCGTTAAATTCGACGGAAAAAAGTTGTAATCTCATATAAAAGAATCTTTATAGAATAATAATCATGTTGTGAAAAAATTATGAAGCTACAAAGTAGAACGATGTAAAGTCTAATTATCGTTTCTGTTTTATGTAATATACAATAACGTAATTATTTCTGCTTGATATTATAATAGTATTTGTTATATGTCATGTTTTAGAAAAAGTCTGAGCATAATTAATTTTTAATTTGTCGGCAAAGAGAATAATGCAATGTTCTTATTTGCATTTTCATTGATTTTACGTCGCTTATAAAAAATGTACTCTTCTGATCTTTCATAACATTTGAAATTGTTAAACTTTCATCCCCTCTTCTCCCTCGTCTCCTTAATTTTGCAAAACAAGATTTTCCGAAAGGTCAAGACGATCGTGTCTTTCAGCTCCAATCTACTTTTAGTTAAGATTGAAATTAGATTTGTCGCTTCAGTCAACTTTTATAATCAGTTTTGAATGTCTCGCCTCGCTTATCTGACTTTCAATCAGCTTTACTTTGATAGAAATATCTCGTCGAAATATCTTAAAATAATGAGAATAAAACTAAAAGATTCATTAAAATTTCGATTAATATTGTAATGAATTATTAATTAATTCCATATTTTATCACATTTTTGTATTTTCTGAGTACTTTTTATTTTTCAATTTTAGACTTAAATGGATATTTTATTTCGATATTGAAAACTCTCTCTAAACAAATAGTATGTCGTAGCAATTTCATTTATTTCATGGAAAAGTCAAGACACATTAACGATTAGCCACAGTTTCGTGAGAGAATTTCTATCTTCGGTATAATAAATTCCTTTCTTCCCCTTAAACCCGAACTCTTTTGCCAACCCGGAAATCCGGGCGAGCATAAAAATGCAATTAAGGAAACACCCGACGTCTGCCTGCCTCCGCATAGTGTCTTTTTTCCTGAAAGGTGCCTTTTCCTCTCTGGATCTTCAATCTTCATCCTGTTTCATATTTCCCCTCGAGTTTATCTTCTGAGGCTTTTAGCGTGATACGTGATAATAAGAATGCGACGAGAGGGAAAAACAAAAGTGTCGACTCTACCACACACTTGATTATCTATAAAAAATGGATAATTTTAATATAAAACTCGAAAAATAGAATATATCTCTCGGTGAATGCGATGCGCGACGAGATATTAGCGGAATAAAAGTAATATTAGATTTCTGCCCGCCATTATAGAGATGATATACGCGGAAAAGTTTATTCTACGAAATATTCCAAGGGGTGAATGCTCGATTCGTTCGTGCTTTTTTCCTTGTCCGTAGTAGCTCTCTTGTTCGCTGTGTTGTCGGCAAAATGACGAAGTAAGGTAATGACGCCATCGCAGCCAACGAGAATACGGCGTTGCTGATCGAATTTTATGGGTACGGCAGGGGGGAGACGAAAAGCGAATTTCACCGGCGACGAGCGACCCGGTGAAGGCTTTCATCGCGGGTACCACGTTAACTTGATTTACGTGATGTGCTTCTAACGTACGCAACGTTACGTCGTTAGATACTCGACACACCGAAATAGCTTCGCTACCGCGACTGCATCGTTTGTGACAAAATCGGTAATTTCACCCTGTTTGATGAATGAGCAAATTGCGTTTAGAAAATGCTTATGTTCACGCAGAGATTTTATGATCGTAAAGAAAATAATTTTGTTATCGTTATTACCAGTAATATATATTTCTCAACACATTTCTACGAAATATCTTATATTTATGAATATGGTCGATATTAAATTATCGAGTTTTATACCGTGTACTCATATGTTTGCATGGAATTGTCAGCTTTTCGCGTAATCTACCACAATTGGCGAACCATATTTAACAAACCGCACTAGCAGCAATCACGATGCAGTAAATTTTCACGAAACGCTCATTAAATACAGTTTAACCGCGTTTGTCGACAAGCGTTGGCTTTTTAGAATTTTTAGAAAAAAATCTTTGCGCTTAAAATTCCACTTTGCATAGGTACTTTGTCGCCTCCAGGAGATGGAAGAAACGGAGGAAAGAGGCAGGGGAAGGTAAAAGGCATAGACGCGCGAACTCGAAGACGACAGTCTAGGCACGAAACGTCCCGACATTTCCACCTCCGGCTGAATATTAGGCGATAAGCTAGCCTTTCGGAGAAGAGGGTGGCGAGAAAGGATCGACGGTTGAGTCACGATAGGGCAAAGGTGCGAGGAAGGTGACTCGGTACGAGTACGTGTTTGTGTGCGTTTGGAGATTGAACTCAATCTAAACTTGTGACAAACTTTGCTCGAGCCCTGCGCTATCTCTCATACCTCTGTCGATTCGCCATCTACAACCTCCGACCTTGTTCGCGATAGAGTGGAGGTGACGTCTTGAGACCAAACGGGTTACATCCGCATCAAAGCGCGCGATGGAATCTCGCTGTCTCTACGTAAAGAAAGAAAAAAAAGCACATTCTTTTGAAACGAGATCTTTGTCTCGAGTTGCCATTTGAGATTTTATTATTATACATAATATGCGAGAAAGATTTGTAGAAATAATTAAATGTCATTACGATGTGAGAAACAATACAATTATTGTTTCGAATAATAATGTGCTCTCTCTCTTCTTTCTTTCTTTTTTAAAATAGAATAAAATCACATACATATTTAGTATACTGTTAATTTATGTTAGATACTTGATTATTGCATAACAAAGCTCAGTCTAACTTTGTAAATGAAAATGCGGCATGAAAAAAGCATTTTACATGCTAAAATAAATAACCGCGCTTGGGAAATTACATACGCGAGAAAATAGTTTAATACCAGAAAAAAAGACACGGAATTTATGAAAGCGTTTTTTAATAGCGCGCCAGAGAACGGTCTTGATATATCCATCCGACCGGTCGGTAAAGAGCAAAGGAATATTAATGAGGAAATGCATTTTCTTCGTTAAATAAAAGTCGGTCGCGTACAAAAAGCCGAATTAAAAAATTAGAGGTCTCCAAAGACGCGCCGCACTGCTGGCAATTAAAAGTCGCTTTAAATTCACATTGCTCTAAAAATTCACAGTAAAACGCCGCGTGCATTTTTCTTCTTCCTTTTTTTTTTCGAGTCCGCCCCTCGCCGGACGTATCCTCATGAAATGCAAAACGGAGTCGTAGCTCCGAGTAAATCGCGTTTCATCGCGAGGCACCGTCGATGAAAAGTGGAAATTTCCGCGCGAAAAAGGAAGCGCTGATAACGCGCGAAACGAGGTTATCGAGCTGAATGTGTGGGTGCATGGGGCAAAATTATGTCACGACTTTCACGATTTTGCATCGCTAGTTTCCACCATGATAACAAAAGTTATGCTGCACTATGGCGTCTAAGATAATTTTCTTTTACGCGCCATCGGCGCTGTAAAGCATTTATCAAACATTTTCTTCGTAATTTCTTCAAGAAAAGAACTTTTTTTCCAGCTACAATTAAACGACAATAAAAATAAAATTAATGTAACGAGAAATATTATCAAAACGATACATCTAAAAGATAGACATTTTATCGTAAAATTTCATAGCAAAAAGAACGATTTTTTTACAATAATTTCTTTTTCATAGATTTTTTATCTAGCGCATAAAATTATCATAGAATAAAATGAAGCAGCATGACTAAATTTCTGACAGATTCACATTATTTCTCGTCTAGCAAAAGAGTTTATCTAACTAGTAGTGACAGAAAGAGCAAGACAGACGAACTGTAGATTAATGTGAGTCGCATCAATCTCCATCGGTAGCTGACGGCTTATCTGCCTCAACGTCAAACCACCACCGCCGCTATTCACCATCCATATTCACTTATGGACACCTTTCGTCCTTATTCGCGGTCCCTTTGATCTCGTTTTTAGATAATCATTCTGTGAGCATATAGGAAAAAGAGAAACTGTCGAGAAAGATGGAGCACTTTGTCCACAAAAAAGTTTGATTAAAGTACTTTTGAAAGAATAATACATGTTACACACTAAATAAAATTTAATTTTGTTACTTAAAAAAAAACAGATTCTCTTGCCTTTTATAAAATTCGATTCTTTTCATATCAGCTTGCCGATTTAATGACTTAGCAACAGTCTGAATTTTA